TATTTGCAATTTAGTCCTTTGCAGAAAATGTTTGAGGACCCTTGTTGCACAATGAAAACGACGTTGTCTCACATTAGCAGAGTGTGGCTAGAAACATATTGATTTGCGCATTAAAGCATTCAGGTATGTATATCTTAAAAATTAGAATCAATTTTAAATGAATTTTTAAAAATTACTTAAACTGTCTGGATCATGTTAGAATGTCAAGTTTTCCACTGCACAGGTACTTAAGAAACATCAGCTCTCATTGTTCATTTACCTCATTGTCTTCAATCTGTTTTCTTCCTTTTACAGTGGAATTTTAGCAAGGCTTAATCTTAGATCTAACACTTTCCATCCCCAGTCTTGCTGTATAGTATCTGCACCTGTGGATTTTAATAGTCCATAGGAAGAACAGCAAGCTTATGTGATTATTCTAGTGGCATTGTAAATGTATGCATTGAGGTTTCTATTGTATAGAGGAGCATATTCAGTGTCAGGCAATATTCTGGTCACTGACAGAGATGCTCCTCTGTCTCAGTTAAGGGCTCCAATTTCTTGTCAAGTTGATATAAAAGAAACCCCTGCAGCTGCCCCCTGCCCTGCTCCCTGCATGGTTTTTCCTCAGCTCACATCCCTGCATACATTGTTGTGTGAAAGAAGAATTTAATTCACTTCCGAATGACTTTTACTTGATGTAAGTATGACTTCATTCACAGGAATCTTGGCTAGGTGAGGTTGTAGGACAAGGTAAGGCTCTAACTATAACCTTCATACATTAGCCACTTTCCCCACTGATATTTTCTGTGTAGCACAGAACAACGTTAGGAAATAGTATTGTTAGAGGCTTTTTAATCTCCAAGGTAAAATAAAGGTGTACTATAAAGCCATATGGTAATACTTTACAGCAGCTGGTCTGAAACAATGTACTGCTAATTTGCACGGTTCTTTTATGTAGGTTAAATGTCTTTCTTGTGCTTAGCGCAGTTCTAAAGGCAAGGGTATTATTAATTGCTAACACTGCCCTCTGGTATTCCGATATTCACTGCTAATTACATAAACCAGTACACTGCCATCACAGAGAAACATTTTTCTCCTGCTCTGAGATATTTTCTCAGAAAGAATTCCACCTCTGGAACAACTTGTATTAGGTTAGCCCCCTGGGAAAGTTCTAATTTACAAGATCCCTTACTAAAAGAAAGAAAGAAAGAAAGAAAGAAAGAAAGAAAGAAAGAAAGAAAGAAAATCAAATCTGTTTCAAAGAGATTATATTATAAATGTAAACTTCCTAATGAGCTGGAGTGAAATGTAGCTGTAGGCTACAACTGGTGAACTTTGAAAGTTTTACCCTTTTCTATATATATATAATAAAGAGACCAGCTGTTGATTACAGTGAATTGACACTTATAGCCAAATCCTACATATTTTCTGAAATAGGTGACCTCTTCAGTTTTACTTTATTTGCTTAAAAAATGCTTACTGCAGGTGAACACTACTGATTATATACCAGATGCCAGGCTAAGTAATTTTACATAAAATACCTCATTTGATTTTCACAATAGGTTAAGTAACTTGCCCAAGGTTTCCTGGCTATTAATTAAAAAGAAAGCATAGTACTTAATTTTGCTAGAAATTTCATATATAAAAAGAAACATTAAAAGCATGTAGAAATAAGAGATGGCAATTACTTTATTTTAAAAAAGTCCATCATTTAGCAGCCAGAATGCTGAGGCAAATTATTCTGCTCTTTTCTTCATTTTGCACATGTGAAACAGATAAAAATTTTAATGTGACAGTAGTGCTAATTATAGTTTATTTTGCTTAATTTTAATGTAAGTGGAAGGATATGTTTAAGTAATTAGTGATCATAATAAATAATGTCAATTGACAAGTGCATAATACTCCATGCAGATGCCTATAGCATATACATTTATGTGTATATCAGGCACTACGCTCTGAAAATTCCATTGGTCTGTCTTTCAGGTGTACTTGGTTGAAGGTCCAATGAGAATCTTTCATTGAACACATGGATGTTCTCTTCATCTCTCTGGGTTTCAGTTTCTTCATGTAGCAGAAAAGGTGATAGTCATATTTTGTTCTCTTTAACTTATAACTCCAAAATTTTATGAAATTCTTTGAATTTAAAGATTCAGAAAGCTTTATTTGCTGTGCCCAAATAAAACCACAGCTTCTGCGATCTGGTATGCAGCTCATCTTCCCTGCCATCCATTTTTCCCCGTTTGACTGCGTTTAACTACTCAGCCCATCATCACTTTTCTAATCTCAGTAGTAATCCTGCATGAAGCAGCCTCTAAATAGAGCTTCTATGTTGTTGGCAGTGCAAAAGAAGGTTCATTTCAAGGAGGAGCTGACTGTTTCCCACTGGTTGATAGAAATAGACAATGGTAGGAAGAAATTTTAAGCAGTCACCCTCTGATGGCCATTCAACTTTCACTTTCTTCTTCCCTCTCTTGCTCCCAGCAGTAATTAAGCAAGCCAGAGTGAAAGCAACTTCCTGCACCTCTGTCCAAATCCTTCCACTTCATTCTCATCCTACCCTCCATGTAGGTCTTAAGGAAAGACCACACTCAAAGCCCCAGTGGGTCAAGACTGCTACATTGACGAGCTCAGTCACAGCCCCACTTAGAGCTGTGACTCTTTCCGTAATAGACCATTTCATCTTCACTGAACGAAACGAGAAATGTGACCAGTGAGCTATAAACTTCATAAATACTTGGAAATTCAAGGTGAATTTTTCAATAAATACTATTGATTACTATGAATAGTAGAACTTAATGTGACTCAGAATGGGATGGAAAGGAGGGATATTTGGGAGAAGGAGCATAGACAGAAAAAGGGAAAAATATGAGAATATCATATCTTGAAATATTTATCAAGAAATAGTTTGTGGTAATATGTCTCTCTATGGAGGGTTTTATTCAAATTGGCATAGGTGGTATTCAATACTCATGATTTTTGCTTTTTATAAAATCAATCTACATTTATTTTCTGACTTTGAAGTGGGATTCCTATGAGGTCTACAACTAGAAAAACCTTTCTATCAACTAGGAGTGCTAATTTAATGAGGTAAATGGCATATCCTGAAATATTGGTAGTTGGAAAACATAAAGATGTCTCTTGCGCAACTTGTTTGTGTATCTTCCTGCACTTCTTTTTTTGTTGGTGCTGGGGACTGAACTCAGGACCTCGCACTTGCCAGGTAGGCACTTTGCCACTGAGCTACATCCCTAGTCCATGCCTAGACTCCTTAACATACCGTGGTACCGTGGAGTAGAAAGTGCAAGTCAAAGGGCCAGTTGGCTACCCCTTTAGTTATAATAGTTTTAACCTTTGAGACTGCCCTTGAGTCTTTCCTCCTGCTCCACTGCAGGGTAGCGTAGCTTCTCTCTGTCCGATATTACTCTCTGTGCTGCGTAATTTCTGAGATGTGACTAGAATACATACTGTCCTTCCTCTTCTTCAGAAGTCATTACCTTCATTGTGAATTTTTTGATCACCTGCTAGAAGAATTTCTTTATAGAGCAAAGTGAGAACATATTTTGAAGAATCTTTGTCACCTAGGTTAAAGCTGGTACCCAGTGCTGGTGAAAGGAAGAAAGAAAAGTGGCATACGATTGTGTGAAGACTGGTTTGAAATGTGTGACCTTGTTTGGCAAAGTGGTATCTTTTTTAAGTGAAATACCAATGGGTACTGGGTTGCTGCCTATCTATTCTGACCTGAAATTCCAGAGAGATTCAAAATAATGTACAAAGTGTTTTTGCATTTCTTATGAAAGAGTGAACGGAGTTACATTTCGGGTCGAAACTGGCATGGGATGAAATATAGAATTTAAAATTCTTAGTAAAGCTGTGCAGGAAACTTCCTCTGGCCCTCTCTCAGTTTCAGAGGTTTCCTGCCTTGTACATTTATAGGTTAAAATATTTCAGGTTAAAAATATTCTAGGAAAAGCCTTGGATAAATAAATGTTTCAGTGGCCAGCAAAGATGTAGGCAATGATTGGTACTACCTAACGTTTATTAAAGTGCATTTAGTTTCAAATCTCAGTTGTATGTTTTCACTCCAAGCAAAGGCTGCAAGTCTACCTGCAGTTGTAGCACTTGTTACATTACTTTGGTCAGAAAAATCAAGAAGGAATGTAATCCCACATTGTTTAAAGTTTGCCAGCAACCCTTGATGAAACAACCATTCTCAAAGGCCACATCTTCTGTGTTATCCTGGTTTTAAATAAATACAGAGGCTATTTTGTTAAAATGGATTGCAGACACAAAGAAACCATTTCCAAAGCCTCCAGTCAGGTGAAAAAAGTCACTGGTGCTTTGTCCAGGGATCTACAGCAGTTTTCGGAGCCAGGAGCTCACACAATGCTCCTGGACTGCATTGCTGCTGGCAGATATGGCCTCTGGTTGGAAATAATCGTTTTTAATAATGCAGATCATCACAAGAGCTCATGGGAAATCACTCTAAATATTACCCTTGGACTTTGGTATAGAAATATAGCAAAGGGAAATTGTCCCTATGATGCTCAAGGGTTAGAATAATATGGAAAAACCAACTCAGTTCAAATAATTTATTGTCTCTGCCATGCTTTTTGCATAGCACAGCTTAAGCTGTCATTCACTGAAAGGCTATTTATACAATCTGAAATTCCAAAGGATTCCTGGATTTGTGTTCTACTCTTTTTAAATGATGCATAATAAGGTACTCTACAGAGGTCTTCTGTAATGAATGTGGAGTTGTTTAGTTTGGGCCCCTTCAAAGGGATGGAAGAACAGTAACTGGCTGTTTGAAATTTTATATTATAGAAACTATACTTGGCCACTATTTGAATTTGTTAGCATCTTTAAAATAAACTCTACCCCCAGACAAATCCAAATCAATCTTTGTGCTCTTGACATTCCACTGCAAAGGTCAATAAGAGGTATAAATAGAAGCCCCAAGAAATAAAGGGCATAGTTGTCCTGGAGGAGCATTTTGGAAGAGATGTGCAGATGTGTGTTGATAGTATTTATTCCTTAAAAGTGGTCAAATATTTTTTGGTTTCTTTGACCTGATTATAAAGCTGGCTTTCTAACTAGGCATGACAGAGTTCAGATTTGAGTCACAGAGCTATCCAGACAAATGCCTACTGGACAACTCAAACTGACGTCTCATAGGAACTCCAGCCCAACAGCTCACCCTTTTTCCTCCATCCTTTGCTTTCCCCCAATACAGGCATTTGCTGTTTTTCATTCATTCTTTGTCTCAGCAATTGGCGATTGATTTGTCAAGTATCTGAAACATAAAAGTAAAAGTGTAGTGAGATAAATAGTATGATGTGAAATGGAGATATTTAGTCAAAATTGGGGCATGTTCACCATATTTTAAAAAAGTGTAACTCTAACAAAATCAGTGGTTCATACAGCGTTACTATACTGGGTGCAATATTGTGCTATAGTTTTTTCAAGATGTTATTTTTTCTTAAAACTGAGTAAAAGTGCGCAGGTCTCTATATCATTTCTTATAATTGCATGTGAATCTGTAATTATCTTACAGTTTAAAATATTTTATGAAGGGAGGGCAGAGGTAAGGGGAAAAAATGAGAATCAAGACTTGCCATGTAGAGGTACATGATCCCAACAATGAATGTAACTGTACTGTATCCCTTAAATGTACCAATAAACTCAATAAAATTAAAAAAAATATTTTAAAAACCCCAAATTTCTCTTGGTATAGGTATAGAAATACTAGTCAACAAGATTTAAATATGTACAAATTCTGTATTATTATCCATAATATTACCGTATTACAGGTGCATACATAAAATATGATAACTGGGTTAAAATATTTTTTCTGGATTCTAGCATTTTTGGTTCTTTAAAGTGTTGAACAAATATACTAGAAAAATTTTTTTAAAAATTTTTTGGTACTGGGGATCGAACTCGGGTCCTTGTGCTTGTGATGCAGGCAATGGAACCACTGAGCTAAATCCCCGGCCCTACTAGAAATATTCTTACTAGTTAATAGTTATGTGTTGTTAACACCTTGTACAAAACACAGGCTTAGGGCAGGGTGACATGAAGCAAGAACTTTTTCACTGATAAACCTGCCCTTAGTAAATTTCTTCATTTTACATGCAGCTTTATCACTGAGAGACTCTTACCTTTCTCTCCTGAAGTACAGTATGATTTTTCCAATTATGTGTGACTTAACTTTGCATCCTAGATTTCTCAAAGAGTATTGCAGATTAATGATGATTCTATTTATGGTTTCTGCGATATGATTAATGGCCCATAGTTTGTGTCTGCTGAATTAGTGTTGTCTCCAAAGCCGTCTGAGGGCCTCAGAATTCAAGGAGATAGTGAGGACAGTGTGACTGTTTCTGTGTAACTTTTGGGGATGTAGTTTGTTAAAAACAGATGAAGTCAGGATGAAGGTTGACTTTACAGGAAAGAAACTCTCAGCCTAAAAACAGTCTGGCCATACTCCCAGCGGAAAACTTTGACCTTAAATAATTTCTCAACCAGTTGCTTACTGAAAGGATATAATCTAAGTACAGTGTTAAAATTTTAGTTGCCACCAATAAATTTCCAAGCACACAAAATTTTCAAAAAACACCCAGAATAATTGGGTGTGCTTTTGGTCCTTGAGTTCATGGTTTATCTACTCCTTTTTGTAGTTAAATATTTAAAAACCCAAAAGTATATTTTTGGTTACTTAAGCACAAATAAAGACATGCCCTAATCATATACAAAACATGTAAAGTAAGAAAACCTTTTCTTTCTCTCAACCTAGTACACTCTTTGGATTCAATTGCATTGAAGCCTTTGATTTTTTCCCCTCTATTCATGAGAGGATATATTTATTCCCTGGAAAGCTTAATCTGTAATCAATTACATTTAACAAGTTAACTCAATTGTAAATGATATGATATAAATGAAGATTAAAGCTAATTTAAGGCAGCATTTTTTTTACTACTGTATAAATTAGCATTGAAAGAATCAGAAGGAACTATGTTTTTGATTAAGATTTGGTTTAGACTGAAGGTTTTCAATAAGATCATTTTTATAAAACTCTGAACTGAAGCCAATACCTGCTAAAAGATAACAGGATATATTAAAGTCATGTCAGAAGTTTAAAAATAAAGGCCCTGAAAACTTTTAATCAGGAAGTGAACTGTGTGTATGGATTGGAAAGCCTGTCCCTCTACCACAATCCAATCATGGCCAATTCTTTCTACCATTACTCTGGGTCACACTATGCAGTATAATCCATCGATGTCAGTGTTACTGCTCTTTTGGTTAACATCTCTTGTGGAGTTCACTTCATCTTAAAAATTCCCAATTAGTTTTTCATGTTAAGATCAAACTGAAGTTTCAATGCTGATCATGGCTGTTTGGGGCCTACTACTCACTAGTAGTTCACTGTTGGCCTCTATGTGAGGGTCCCTGGTGTCAGACGCACTAGTTTCCTGCTCAACTAATGCCACCCTTTGCTACCTTCTACTTACAGTCTTTTTCAGTCAGGCACCTTATGCTCTATGAGTCTGCTGGCTTTTCTCTTATCTCCCAGTCCAAGCTACATATTTAGACACTTAATGGAATATTTTCTCTGTGCTTCTCCTGCCTGTTGTTTGATTTCTAAAAGGTGCTCAAATCATGGCCTGGAACTGGAGATTCTCCTGGATTATGGTCACAGTTTACTTGTCTGTCTTCCCAATAAGTGTGAAAGCCCCCTTAGGTCAGGATCTGGAATTGGCCACCAGGATATCTCTGTTTTTATAAGATTTAAAGATTGTTTTGAGGATGGGTTAAAACAAGGTGGAGCTCAGATAGATGAACAGCGGAACTCTTTGTTACTTCCATTTGCAAAGAAGAGATGGCTGGGCTGAGTGCCACACGGGCAGTTGCCACCTGGGGCAGACGAACAGCACCATGGAGCTGTCAGAAGCTTTTGCTGGCCAGATTAGGTGGGTTAAGGGAGGTTTCGGGCTCCATATCATTTGGTTAATTTGAATCATTTTGTTGTCTCCAGGGATACAGCGCTACCTCTTGTTGTCTGATATCTAGCTCTGGGGGTGATTAGGATGGTCTCCATTCACCCTGGAGGATAAGAACCCGCAACAGGAAGTAGTTGGGGTGTAGATGTAATCAGCTGATCAAGGAAGGACTCTGACTCCCTCCAGCTAGGACTTCAAAACTGGGTGATGACAACATTTCAAACAATAGCAAAACAAACTATATATGCTATAGTACAGTGTCCAACCATATGTGTAGTAAATATTTATTGACACAATTAATGAAAAATGAATGTATGTATGCATCTGTGATGTGAGCTACCACTTCTTCATATGACAACTGTTTTTTGTTTTGTTTTGCTTTTGTAAACTGCCAGTTACTCGGCATGATTTTGCAATCATCCAGCATTCACGTATCTCTGGACTTTAGCTTTCTAAAATATGATTTAGACTCCTTCCTACAGTGAGAACCAGTGATACATCTGATAATTAAAAGCTTACATATAAAAGAAGCATCTCTTTCAAGATGTTTCAGATCATCACTTCGTTTCACGCTGAGAAGAAATTTTGAAATAATCGCAAATAATTTGCAATTTTTTCCTGCTTTTTAAAATAGCCTGATTTTCAATTTAAATATGTTGTGATTCATTTTCCTGTGATTTACTACAAACAATACCAGTCTCCTGCATAACCTCAATGCAATCACCAAAATCAGGAAATTAACACTGATACATCGCTGACAACTCATCCTCAGACCCCTCTTAGGTTTTATAACTTTTGCCAATTTTTATAGTAAAGGACTCGTGTCAGAATCACGAGTCATGTTTAGGTGTTATGTTGCTTTAATTGCCTATGGTCTGAAATATTCCCAAATTCTTTCCTTGACTTTTATGACCTTAATAGTTTTGAAGATTACAGGCCACATATTTTGTAGAGTGTTCTTTAATTTGGGTCATTTCAATGATGTGACCTCATTAGATACAAGTTAGTTATAATTGTCAAAATATAGCAGAAGTGATGATGGAGTTTCCTTGTTGCATCCTATCCGGTGGCTCAAAAATTTCATTTGATTCCTTTGCAAGTGAAGTTAGCTTCCATCATCCCACTCAAGCTAATTCTCTGTACTGGCCTGCACTTCCACAGCCTGTGCTGGCTCCTCGTTTTACTTTGGATGACATCTTGCATTTTACTGCCCCTCCACTGAGGGTCTTATGGTTCTAGAACTGGAGTTCTCTGTAAGGCAAGGGAGAGGAAGGGAAGACAAGGCGGGACCAGGCCAGAAAAGGGAGAAAACAAATACTTTTAAGTTTATGGACATTATATACCCACCGTCTTTAATGAATTAAAGACCAACACATGGCCGCCTGGTTATAAATAAGGATCTTGAACATCATCAATCCTATGATAAAAATTAACAACTCTTCAAAAATCCACCAGAAAATTAAAGTCACAGGGTAAACTACTATCCAAAAGCTAGAGAATTAGGCAGATAGATTCATAGCTTCTAGAAACTGGACCAGCACGACACTGGTTAGGGTGCAACACCCCTGTGATCACAGCACTCTGGGTGGTAGAGGACGAGAGACCTCAAATTCAGTCCCAGCCTTAGCAACTTAGTGACATAGCAAGATCTTGTCTCTAAGTGAATGAAAGTGTGAAAGAGGATATAGCTCAGGGCAAAGGCCCTGGGTTTGATCCCTGATACTGCAAACAAAAGAGAGGGAGATTAACTAAATGCCTAGATACTAGTGACTGAGCATGCCCAGCTCAAGAGATAAAACCTCCTGGAATCCTCACATGTGGGGAAGTGCTCACGCTGTTATGAGCTTTATTTCCAAGAGCATCAACATCTCACTGTAAGAAAAAGCCCTTCCAGCTTTCAGCAGAAGAAGGGAAAGAGTAACTAAACCACTGGAAATTGCCCAGGTCATTGTGCTTTCTTTAACAAAGGCCTGCCTTTCAGGGAAACTATTTTACTACAACCTAGCCAACTGGGTTTTACAATAGGATAAATAAACTGGGGAAAGGAAAATACTCTACTTTAGCCACTCTAACCTTCCTAACTCAACTAAGGAGTGGAAAATAAAAGCTGAGAAATACTACTAGATATCATAACCTGGAGTCCACAGTGTCACTAAGAGTCTGAGTCCTACTCATAGACTAAAAGATATTTCAGCTCTCCTAATATTACTATTGCATCAATAAGGAACCTCTAGAATAAGTGATTAGAGTTGAAAGAACTCCAAAGTTTAAATCTAGGAAATCTAGAAAACCCAAA